AGATCATCTGTTGATGTGGAGAGGAAAGAAGTACAAGAATTGCTAAAATAGCAGCAAAATTAAACAAAAGATGGCAGCATAAATTGTTTCCCTAATGTGTTTTCTTTTTCTTTTTTTTTTGTATTTTTTGCAATTATCTTTTCTTTTATCTTGACAAGACATCATCGTCTAACGATTTCAGGATATGTTCATTTGGTCTGGTGAATTTTAATCTGAACAAGCTTTCTGTTCAGCATTTGATATCATGGTGGGGTTCTTGGCGAAACGCAAAGACAACACCATAGCCTACAGAAATCCTAAGTAGACATGATTTTCACATAAATGCCACCCCCTTTCTCCACCAAATGTACAATTCACAAGATGAGCCAAGATGGCACAAGCAAGATCAACTTTTTATTGCCGTTTTCACAAACAGATCTCACAAAGCCTTCTGTGTTTCAAATGATATGTTCAGTCCAAGTTTGACCAATATGCTTGTGAAACCGGATATTTAAATAAACTGCATAAAAAGACACAGAACCATTTGTTTTCCTCATTGTTTGATATTCTAATCACTTCTATATTTTCTCAATACCAAAATAACAAGAAAGACCTTCTTGTGCAGAGTTCTCGAAGAAGATAGTTACACAGACAAATTTTTGACCTCCCACAGCAGTCTAGGAACTGATCAAATGCACGTAGGGGGTGGAAAAACCATCTTGAAAGCTGAATTCTTCTTTATTCAAACCTTGGGTGAGGTCAAGGCAAAGTGGGATGCAAAGTACTGAGGGAGAAGTCTTGCAAAAGAAAGAAGCAGGAAAAGCAGGCAAACCAGTCATCCAAATGAGATGAGGAATGTAAACAGCATCTGCAGAAAACTCGAAACATAACTGTATCAAAAGATAATGAGTGACAGTAAGCGCTGTCCATGTCAGCCTATTTAAATTTACAACTGTAGGTTTGTTTGAGCCTTACATGGTGGGAGATGGAGTGAAAAAATACAGAACTATTTGTGCTGATCTTGTGAGTGACCAATCATCAAAAGTGTCCCTCTTTGCATATCATGAATTTATCTCAAACTAGAGACACTTACGAAAATATTGTCTGACCCAGGCTCAAAATTTGTGGCTGTACTTAAAGAACTGTATGCAATTTTAGGAAATCTGAGTTTCAAAATAAAGCTGAAAAAAAAAACTGGACTGAGTGTTCATACAAAATCCACCCAAGAGACTCTCCATTTAAAAAAATGAGGCTTCCTCTCAGATCTGGTCTAACGGGCATCAAGCAGCAGTGGCAGCGGGGGAAGTTTGACTGGCATAGATCATAACCAGTAGCAAAACACCAGTAACTTTCTACACATTTCATACGCAATAGATGTCTTGTAACCTTTTCTTAACAGCTTTTGTTGCTTTTTGACACAATCGCTCCCCGGGTGGTGAGCCATGTTTCTCATATCAAAAACCACTGCTGACCACAATAAACTCGGGACGTTGTTCACTAAAGAAAACAAACATACACATTGTTAAAAGAGGATCTCAATGGAGCAAATTGCTTCACCAGAGGAAAAAATTGAAAAAATAAAAAGTAAAAATAAAAAATAAAAACTCCTCACTTTACTCAGACACACTCAATGTGAAGCGACTACACACTGTTCATTTTCTCCTACCTTTTTCTTATTCAATGTAGTTCTGTGTCTGTCCCTAAAATGGCCCTGCTGGGGATTCTATCTCCTGATTCCCTTTGAAGCAGTGGCCTCTCATTGCCTCCATTATCTTGTAATTTGTGGGGGATTATGCTTTGGAGCACACGCAGTCCACCCCTTGCTTAAAAACTGTGACAGCTTACGATAATTGCCATGCTAATTAGCAGAGACTAGCCCAGTGTGCCTCCATCCCTCACTAGACCTGATTTGATGAATACGCTTTGATTCATCTCTCAAGTAATGATTGAGACATATATATATATATATATATATATATATATATATATATATATATATATATATATATATATATATATATATATATATATATATGTGTGTGTGTGTGTGTGTGTGTGTGTGTGTGTGTGTGTGTGTGTGTGTGTGTGTGTGTGTGTGTATAGAGAGATATAGTATGTATGTCCCTTTTCATGATTTTTAGTGTCAAAATCTTCTGAATGTTCTTCTACATAAATGGATTATGCAGTCATAATGAGTTAAGGCACAGGAAGCTGGGTTGTTTTATAGCTCCATCAGTTGTCTCACGTTGCTTTACAAACCGAAATAATAAAACATCCTGACTTGGAGAGTAAATCCATCACTGGCTAATGCTGCCGTGTCCATTTAGACACAAATGGTGGCCTTTCACTGGCACTGCTTGTGAATTTCATACAGTCTCAGAATCTACTCCATTAAATGTTTATCTTTTGTCCGCCTCCTTGCAGCTTCATGGTGCATTAGCATCCCCCACTGACAGTACTCTGGTCAGTGCAGGCCTGAGAGGTATACCTCGTCTTTTTACAGGTGACTATGTAACTTATCTTTGAAGCTGCCTCTCATTACTGCGTGCCCTCTCGTCACCTTTCCCTCACAAATATGCTCATCCCTCCTGAGACCTAAATGCTAGAAGCAAGCCCTTCAAAGCCACACACAGCCACTGACCTTCATATCCTAAAATAATGTTCGTTGCCACTGTTTTATACATACAGAGCCCAGAATGTCTGAAATGGCATTTAAAACAAAAAAACAGACTACTTTTTTACAAAATGATGATGATATAACTCTTGACTAACATGCTCGATTCACAGTTGTTTTCCCTTTCAATTTAATGTTACCATCAATCTGGCAGAATTATCGTAACAGGTTCCACAAACCTGAATTACTCCAGCAAATGCTCCCAACTAGGGTGTGGAGAAATGTAATTTCATGGAGTTAAATTTGATTTGTTTTACAGAGCAGAAAAAAAGTTAAATTCACGCAAGCCGCAGTGTGAAACAACATGGTTTTCTGAAAAGATGTGCAGATAAGCCTTACAATTAATGAATGTTTCATAATATTTGCAAAATTTAACCCTGAAAATATAACATCAACATGTGTTTAAAAAAAAATCTATTATTTAACGTGAGTTTATTTATCCAGCAGGACAAAAAGTCCATATTTAAAAACAATGCTTTCACAAAATCATAGCACAGTTAATGTAAGTAATCCAAATAAATGTAACTGAGGCATTTTCTTTTATTGTTTTTTGTTACCTGTCATTGCTCTCCCAATCCCTCCCAAAATAAAATTCTGAAGCACAAAGCAATTACAGCAACAAAGCATTTTTATATAACTGGTATTATTGTTGAAGAAAACCTTCTGAATTCAGTCTGTCAATTATTCCAACAGCAAACAAACTCAAACTAACACTAATCAGACTGTTATTAGTTTAATCATAAATAATTATACTCCATTCGTCTGTGGTTCACAATAGATAAAGACTCATTTTTCAAACACAATATTATTTGTTTTGCACTTAGAAGAAGTAAGTAGTACAAGAATTAAGTCAAAATTAAATCCAAATTAAAAAAAAAAAATATTTTATTGATCCCAAAGGGAAATTGAATAAAATAATCCATCCATCCATTTTCTGTGCATCCTTGTCCCCAGTGGGGTTGGGATGGGTGCTGGTGCCTATCTCCAGCAAACATAATTAGATGAAATAATACAACAAAAATTTCAGAATATTATGAGAATAATGTCGTACAATACTAAGTTGTACTACTACGAGATGAAAGTCGTACAAGAATAAAGTTGATATTTTATTGCGTTTATTTTCATATCACGGTTCTTATTAAAACAACATTGATGCATTCTTTTAATAACTTTGTTATTAAAGGCCTGAGTATTGCTTGTAATTACTAGTTACATTGTAGTTTTCCCACTCAGATATTCATATATATATTAATGATTTAGTGACCAACACAAAAATAATTGAATTATCTCGTATGTATGGAAATTAATTAATGCATAGTAAGTTTTTTATTTGTTGTAATGAGTAAAAGAACATCAGAATTTTTACACGGTGACATATATGGAGAGTGGTTTTTATTATTAGTCTATGCATAGGAGTTGAAGAAAAACAAATGTAAGAAAAACAAGGAGAATAGAATCTGAAGTGCCAATATTGGAATGTCAAAAATCGTGTAAACAAACCAAATATAGTACAAATATACCACTACACACACAGATGTATCCTTATTTCTTCTCCTTTCTCTCTGCCTTTGTTTGCCTCTATGTCTGTATAAGTTAAACAGACTTGTACAGACATCTTTTATATATATTCTGTATAAAAGAGAAATGCTGATGAGATGCAGGGCCAGACATGGGAGAGTTGTAATATAACAGTGTATTGTTGCTCTCTTTCAAGCAAACTAATAAAAGTAGTATATGTATTTTTTGAGAGACAGAGAGAGAGAGCGAAAGAAAGAGAGAGAGAGAGAGAAAGAGAGAGACAGAGCGAGACAGAGAGAGAGAGAGATGTTTTTAATTTCTGTAAATAAGTTTTTAAGTTATGCAAATTCATTGCAATGATACAATTGTCTTTGTGGATTTAAAAAATGAGGATATGTCGCCATTTTTAGCATTTCCAGTTACCCGAAATCTATGAATAAACCTAGATTTCATGAGAGAAAACATAATTTTAGGCATCCTTGGTCTATTTATCTCCTATTTTGATCATGAATATAATTTCTCTATCTGTGATTTTCAGCACCAGTGAAAAATAGCCCACTGATTGCCAGGCTCATTATCATTGTAATAGTTGCGGTTAGGCTATGAAAATCAGTCATTTTTCAAATAGAAAAGAAAGGTCGAAGAGGTAAAGATGAGGAGCAGACTGAAGAGGTGGTGGAGGAGCTCCTGTTTCTGTGTGCAGAAAATGATTCTGAATGTGGCATGCTGCTTTTTGAAGGAGCCCAGGTTGTGCTCCTTCAGTCTTCCAGTAAGCCAGGGATATAACACAGAAACCAGTTTGCATAACTAAAAGATAAAACTAAATTTCTTTTGAGAATTTTAAATACATTTTGACATTGTTTACAAAGTCATGGAACAAATTATGACGGACACCTGCATGACCATGACTTATTTTAAAAAGATGTGAAATTTTAAGTTGTTTAAATTATTAATAAAATTGAAGAAAATGTTATTTTAATCAGGTTTTAATCATGCAAGCATGGTATCCGTATAGCCTAAATTCAATATACTTATAAGGATTTCCAGAATTCTTCAGATTTCTGCATCGGATTTATCCTGAATCCTGCTACTTTTAATACAAAAGCAGACAGTCAAAAAGAGACTGCACAGCTTAAACTTATGGGGGTGGTGTGCAAGATATGTTCTCAAAGGAAAAACAATTTGAAGTTTATCAGAAAGAGCATTCAACATGTGGAATAATGTTCTGTGGACCCAATAAAACTGAATTCTTTGAACACCAGGATTTTAATATTTGGTGTTAAGGAAATGCATGACACAAGGAGCTGGAAATGTCATAGTCTGGGGAATGTATTTTGTGTGTGCTTACCTTTAGCTAAATCATTTATTTCCCAGACATAAAGAAAAAAAGAATTGAACATTTAATGGGATGTCCTAATTTTTCTCCGGATGCCTGAAACTGAATATACTGTATCGACTTATTCCAAGCTACTACAGAACCTTTAAAATAGCACTCACTTCTTAGACTTTGGTGTTTCAAAATCAAAGCCAATATATAGAGAGAAATGATTTACAAGCAAGTTTAGAAACCAACTAAGGTTGCAAAGTGAGACTTCAATTGTGAGGTACAGAGAGTAACTATAAAGTAATAACTGATGTGTGACCTAACCACAATGAGGGATGATCAAAATGCATCGTATTGTGGAAGAGGTTTTGAAGAAGAATAGAAGAACTCTTAGCTGAAGGCCAAACCCCCTTTCCAATAAAATATTGTGGAAAAAGAACTGCTCTGTGGATCTTGAGATTCATAGGGACGACAGCGTTCTCTCTTTTAGGCAATGAAAGTATCAGTGGCTGATTGCCAAAGAAGCTTTGGAAGATGAGTATCCAGTTGCAGCAGAGATGTAGAGCTGGTGTGCAAATTTGGACCAGGGCAGGTGAAAGCACCAATCACTGTTAGCTAGGGGGCTTCGGGTTCCTACTCAGTTTGTCCATTGGTCTGAAGATGGAAACTGATGCAAGCGTAGCCTTACCGCTGAGAGCGGAAAATAATACTTCGGGGAGCTCTGTCAGAGACAAAGGGAAACAGTCATCCAGGAAGATGTAATGAATGAGGTTTGAGGTTTCTGTGGCAGAAAGGAACTTCTGCACCAAAGGAGAAGAAAGACATAATGACAAAACTTTTTTTTTTAGGAAGAGTCATCAGAAAAAACAGTGGTAGTGGTTCAGCTCACCTTTGGATAGCAAGACAAACTGGTTGGACACATAACAAACTGATCCAGAACACACTCGGTTCTCTACGGAGAGCTTGCTAAATTATATCCTCAATATTGTGGTTGAGTCTCCAGCGGTACATGATGATGGTTTGGCTGTTCCATGTCAGAAGAGGAAAAAGAGAGAGAGAGACTAGAGTGTGATGATCTGAGAAGGAAAGTTTTGTTGCAGTTACATTTGGGGAAATCTATCACTGAAGAGATTAACATGGCAGTTTCTTTAAGCAAGCAGGGTTTTTCTTTTTACCACATGTATGGATTTACTGAAACTGGGCACAAATTGGATGGAGCTGGAAGCAATTTGATCATGGGCTAGAAGATGTAGTGAAGGAAGGGATATCAGAATAATTTAACTTTACAGTTTTTTCCCCTTCTAAATAGCAGGCTAAGGGTGAACATTAATCATTGCACACCAAAGGAAAAAATAATCTGAATGAGCTGGAGAGTTGAACTTAGATTAGTATCTGGAGAACGTCAATACTGTGGGAACAGGCTGTGGATTCTAGGCTGCCTGAGATTATGGACACAATAGGTGGTGATGATTGAGCTCACTGGTCTGGCCTTCATACCCACCTGATTCCACCTGCCTTAATTCCACTTTCCCTCTCAGTGAGCCTGAGCTCACTGGCCTGGAGAACAGGACAGTGAGTTAATGTGGTGAGACCAGAAATGGATGGCAAGGGGTACTCCAATCACGAAGGCAAATAAGGAATACATGAAACTAATGCAATGTTGATATCGACCGCAATCAGGATAAGAGACAAATGTAAATCTAAACAGATTTCACACACACAAAAAAAACAGACACAAAGCCTAAACCCCAGCGCAGGTTGAGTTACCAACATATCATTGACCATCATTAATAGTTTTATGCAAGAAAGCTTGATGAGGATAATTGGTCTCAGGTGAGTCTGATGCTCAGCAGGAGCAGCTCCACCCTCACAGCAAGAAAGCACAACGGGAACGGAAGAGAACGAAGAGACAAGACACAAACAAAACATAACAACCACTCGAGCATCATGACAATGTTTCATTATCAATTAAATAAATTTAAAAAATAGGGATCAATTGATATTCATCAGAGTGTTGCACATCTCATTTAAAGCCATGATCAATTAGTTTGAATATTATTGATTGTTTTTGTTTTTTTATTCCAGTAACCAATTCACTTTGTGAAACACAACATATAGCATATTTGCACACAGATTTATGTTTTCAAGCCATTACTTCAATAAATTATGATTCTTTTCCAATTACTGCTAATGAAAACGCAACATTTAAAATTAGAATACTACATTCGAGCAATAAAAAAACAGCTTAGTACAGAAATGTAGGCCTTATGCAAGTTTAATACCTGATTAAAATTTATTTCAAAAGGTACTTTTAATTTGAGAAACACATATTCTGATTTTTAATTATGACTGTAAAATGATATAAAGCAGTATTTTTAAATGAACAATGGTGGAAGAGAATGTAGCTACCTTTTCAGTATATTTCTTTGTAAGAATCTGTTACTACCTTAACCCTCTTTTTCAAAATATGCTGTCTAATGTGGAGCATTTATAATTGCAATTTTTAAATATGCAAACAGGGGTTCAAGTACTGCCAAAAAGTTATTTTAAAAATAGAAATCTACATTTTGACACACCGTAAGATCAAAACAAATCAAAGACAAGACACCAAAAGGGGAGCTTGTTGGTTGTAACTCATCATACATTGATGTTTATCAACAATATTTGAAAAGGGAATTTTTTTTTAAACGTTAATCAATTATGTTTTCTATTTTACATAATGTGAAAGTATACAATTTTTTTTTATTTTTATTTTTTTTTTTTTTTAAATCTTTTTAAATTTAATCATACATGATTTTAAAAGAGCTAAATAAATAGGTCAAAATAAGCCTAAAAAGTAAGAGGTCAAAATGATACGATGCTGTGCGTAGCTTTTAGCTTATTAGCTTCTTTGGGTTGTGATAAGGTGGCTAACCACCCTACATGCCCGCAGTGTCGGCCGCTGTAGCAGCGCCCTGACTCAAGTCCACTTTAACAGCTGCGCGGTCACGTGACGGAGGTTTGTCAGCTGATGGACGCTATCTAATTTCGGCAGGAAAGTTTTCCACCTAAAGGAAGCTTCTTGTCGTAAAAGCTTGCTTAGCATTCTTATACACATTTAGACAGATTTTCTTTTATTTTTTAATAATGACTTGGTTGTCTACATCGCCTATCTTGTTTTGATTCTCAGAAGTGCGTCCATGAATCTTGAGTTAACTTTTGTTGAGTCTAGTGATGGAGGAAAACACCCAAGATCAATTTCTTCTTTTTGCTAAAGAGGGCAATTGCCCTCTCATCCAGAAGCTGCTCTATTCAAGGAGAGACAAAGCCAACTCGTTTGACATTAATTGCAGATGTAAGTGAGTGAAAGGGGTGGGGAAGTTTAATAGCTGCTATGATATAACTTAAGGTGTGCCTTGGAAAGTCTCAGTTTTCCTCATTTTCATTACAGCCAAGTCTGAAAGCACCTTAGGATGGACAGCTCTTCATCTGGCCTGTAACTCTGGCCACAGGGATGTTGTGGAAGAGTTACTAAAGGTAATTTTATAATATAGAGTACTCTGTATTCTATATAGAATGCACTCAGCCATAGAAATCTACCACAATGGATGCATTTGCAGGCAGGGGTGGATGTAAATGTGCAAGATGACATTGGTGACACTCCTCTACACAAAGCTGCATGCACAGGAAGAAAGGTACGAATATCTTACCTATCCACTGACGATATTCTCAGTGTCTGTTGGCACTGAGAATAATGTTTTTTTTTTTATTATTTATAATATTTTTTTATTGTATTATTATTCTGAAGGAAATTGTTCTGCTGCTTCTCCGGTACAATGCCTGTGCCAGTATAATCAATGGTACAGCTAAAATCCCCAAAGACGTCACAGATGATGATGAAATCATTACCATGCTGGAGGGTATGAAATCAGTGTGTGTGTATATATATATATATATATATATATATATATATATATAGTGGCTGATGACTTCTCATTACAGAAGCTCAGCTGTCTTTGTTCTCAAGTGCTGTTTGGTCTGTGCAGCTGCAGAGAGGAGGGAGATGAGGCGACAAGAGGAGAGGCTTCTGGAGGCTGCTAGAGAAGGGGATCTCTCCACTCTGTCTAAATTGGTTAGCATCTGACCTTTCTTGGAACTTTTGAAGATAAATTGCTAGTTGAGAGGGTGTTTTCTTCCTTATATTATTGACCTCTTTCGAACTTAGCGCATGTTTCATATGTCTTTTTTTTTCAGTTGTTCCTGAGATCCTCAAACAAAATCCTCAGATTTTATGCAGTTGTTTTTCTAGTACTGAGCTTTAACTGGTAGCATGTCTATCAGCAGGGTTGCTAAAACCAAGATTATGCCTACAGGTTATTCTTGGTTTGCTCAATCATACCTCATCACTGTCACTGTACATTTCAAATGTAATAATAAACATCTCGGTTATTAATAAATTTCCTGAAGGTGAAATTTCTTAAGAAATAAATGTCAGATTTTGTTTTCAGTTTTTCACTTTCGTCTTCTTATTTCAAGCTCGGTGCTGAGGAGGCTCCTGATATCCACTGCAGGGATTCAGTTGGAAACACGCCTTTGCACTGTGCAGCCTACAGAGGGCAGAAGTACTGCATCATAAAGCTGCTGAAGTCTGGAGCCAGCTCGAATATCAGGAATACTAACAGTATGCAACTAATCTTGTTTTCATTTTTTCAGTTTTTGGGGGAAGTATTAAACGTTGTTTTGACTCTTTTAAAGTACATCTTGTCACTATATTTGTATTTATTTAAATAGCTGGTCTTTTTCAGATCAGACCGCTCTGGACCTGGTTCAAACTGATGAACTCAAACAGATGATTGCAGCGTATCAAAAAAAGGTAGGATAAAACAATATTCAACCTGTAGGAAGGCCTTTTTTTTTTTTTACCAGAAGGGACAGGAAAGATGATTGACAGAAATATAGATAGTATTGAACACAGTGGATTCTGGAGCAAAGCCTGGTGGGGGCTACAAATGACATGAGTAGCAAGCAGAGTTTTCAACTATACAATGACCCTAAACATAAAGTGCAAGCATATGCATGCAGTAAAATGGCCTAGTAAAATCCCAGAACTAAATCGGATATTTTGTGGTAAAACTTGAAGATCAATGATAAAACTTGCAATGATTTCACTTTTGCCCTTGTTGCTGGTAGAGAGGCAGTCAAAAAGACATGCAGCAATAAATGCAACTAATATGTTGTTTCTGTAATGTTTTTTTTTCTTCCACTGAAGACTTGGGGACTTGTTTTTTATGTTGGTCTATCACAATGAATTGTACTTAAGTTTTTTGTTGCAACCTGATAAAATGCAAAACAATTCACAGCATCTGAATTCTTTGGTGTTTTTTTGCGCAGGTCTGTTGCACTGCAGCTCTACGTTTTAATAAAGATTCATTGACCGATAAATAATTAGATTGGGGCTTTCCTATTAATCTCTCTTGTTGCTGCATAATTAAGTGTTAAATACAGCAAAGTAACTGAAACATTTTATGCACTTTTTTTTTTCTTTAAAAGCTGAGTTTGTAGCCTTTCATAGTTGTCTAAAGATTTTATTCTATGCTTTAGTATTTTTTTTCTCATGATCGGTGGGGATGTGAAGTCAACAGATTTTCTGCATTTTCCTTTCTATTTCTGTTTGTATTCTCTTGGGCTCTGACGATGCAGAAAAGACTTAATAGCTCAGCGGTCTGTACTCTGGATGTCTGATCAACCTGGCATAGCTTCAAAAATAAGGTTTTGTAGACTAAGTTCTTTTAGTAATAGTGCTAAAAGAAAAATGCTACACATGAAGCTGTCAAATGCTCTAGATATGTCTGAAAAAAATACTGTTTGTAACCCATTTGGAGAATTTTGTTTTTCAGGATGTGACCAGTGGGATGCAGAAGGTTGAGGGCCCTCTTTGGAAGGTACACAGATGTCAAAGTGAATTCTCATCTGCTCTTATTTAGTCCAACATCCAGACATTCGGTGGTATACACTAATCAGCTCCAACAAACAATGTAAAAACAGCTGCCTAATATTGTAGTGGAGCCCCTTAAGTTGTCAAAACAGCTACT